CTCACTCTCTGCCCTGCCCCCACTTGTGCTCTGTCTCTGTCTCTCTCAAAAATAAAAACAAACATTAAAAAAATTTTTTTAAATGTTCTTTCTTAAACTTGATTACACAGAACAACGTGCAGGATGGCATTCAGTTTAAAAGTGGGCCCAGGGAAAGAAAATAATAAAGATAAAAAATAAAAGCAGGGCCCAGAAGTGTGTGTGTATCTTAATCCCCGAGGCAAAGTTCAGCATGAAAGGGACCAAATGTCTGCAGCAGTGTCTCGTCCCCAGGAGCCCTGGGCACCGACCATCAGCAGGGCCCTCTCGGAGCACTGGGACAGGGAGGTGACAGAGGGGCTCGCACACAGAGGAGACGACACTCGACTAGCACGCGGGACCAGGACAGTGGGGGCCGGGGGAGCCTGAGAAAGGACACACCACCGGGAGGGGCCACTCTACAGGTCTAGAGCTGCGGAGCTCCAGCTCCCAAGGAGAAACATTTTTACCGGATTCGGGGAGGCAGAGGCCGCGAACGCTGGCCAGGTGGTGAGGATGAAGCCCCACTGGGGAGGACCAGATGGCCATGCAGTGGAGCTGGGCCCTGGCAGGAGCAGAGACGGGAGGGGGGCAGCCTTCGTAACGCTTTTATAACGGTATTTGCTATGTAACCGTTTCATTTTTACTTTGCGCCACATTATAAATGTACAGAGTTTTAAAAACCACAGAATCCACAAAGCTGACGACGAGCACAGGACCCTTGCCGTCCCTGTGCCCCGGGCCCTGTGGGCAATCTTTCTGGGTTCTTACCCTCTTTGGTATTTATCTCCACCAACGGATCATTACTCCTCCGTGCCCTCTACTAACTTCCTACTGGGAAACTCGACAATCCCCCTCCCTGGCCCTCGGCCCCCTCCACCCCAGGAGGCTCCAGAGCCTCCTGTACCCCTCAGACCTCTGCATGAGGTGTGTGCTTCCTGGAGCGACTGAGGGCCTCGTTCACTGGCTTAGTTTTCTGTGTCTGCATTGCTGGTCTGCCTCCACCCGCTCAGCCGGGGATGAGCCCCTCCTGATCACTCCAGCACAGCCGCAGACCACCTCCAAGCAAGCCACTCGCTTCTTGCTCCACCACCGGAGCGGCTGCTCCACTCACCAGCATCCCAAAGCCATCCCAGGTTCTCAGTGTTCCAGGGGCCGGCAAGGTGGAGGCTGGGCTCACGGTGCTCCCTGACCCACTGGAGCGCAGCCCCACGTCCCTGCGGACCAGCCCCCTCCATCGCCCTCTGGCTCCCAGTTCACCCTCCAGGGGACAAGTCAGGGTGGGGGAGGAGGGCCGAGAACCGGCCTGGTTTGGCTTGCTTCCTAAACCAGCTTTCCACCAATTTCCTATTTCAGCCCCATCTTTACTGCCCTCCTCATTTTCAGAGTACATGGCAATGTCATTCTTGAGACTTGGGGGGGCTGTCTGCCATGCAATCCATCTCCCCGCCGGGCCCCCCAGCACAAGTGTGATCACCCCCGAGCTTTCTGTTTTCAGATCTGCTATGTCCCTCTGTTTGTCCATCTGCTGTCTAAGTTCCCCGATTCTGTCATCTCCTCTCAATCTCTTGGTGGCCTCTTCCTTTTAAAAATATCTTACCTGTCACTTTAGTGGTTCTTAAAAAGCAGCACAGGTCACTGTGAATCCAATCTGCCATTTTGGCTGAAAATCAAGGGAGGAGGTTTTTTTTTATTTTAAGATGAGAGTTACCGAGTCATGTTGATGCTACTAGAAGTGGCTGCCAGGGACAAGGAACTGAGACCCAGGAGACAGGCAGCCTAACTGAGGCAGGAGCAGAGCCCTGAGCAGCCAGAGGGCAGAGAGACCAGGCGCAGGGCAGGACGGCGGGACTGCAGCTTCGGGAGGGAAAGCAAAGCGCCTGTTTTCTCGAACTGTGAGGCCCGGCCGTCAGCCGAGACTGAAATCTGATGAAGTGAGGAAGCTGAGAAGAAAGGCCAGGTGGGTGCACAAGAACTGCCTCCGACACAAGAGACACGAGGGCGCGGAGGCCACCCCAGTCCCTCGGCCAGCGCACAGGGCTAAGTCGCCTCCCCGCAGCACACCCGAGACAGGAAGGAAGCAGTGGTGTCTGTGGGGTGACGACAAGGGGCACCAAGAAGGACGTGGCGGGGCAGGAGGCCCCTGACGGAGGTGTCCCGGTCGGGGGCTCATCTGCAGTCCTCCTGTCTGTACTTGCTGCAGGTAAGCCTTCCAGTTCTTTCTCATATTTGCCAAATCCTCTCATTCTATAGCGAGAATTGTTATCTTAAGGCAGCACAGAAGAAAAACCTATATAAATCAAATAACCAAGTCGGTATTACAGAAAATAAAAGACCTCAAAGTAAATAAAAATTTCAACTGTTTTGTTCTCATTGCTTCTTAATTTCCTTAAGTGCCCAGTTCTGAGTTGGCGGGGAGCGGGCTCTGTCACTCAGTGGCTGTGCAAAACAAAGTGGGGTTTCAGGGATCCCGGCCGCGGCAAAGCCCAGGCATCACACAGAAGCGGCTTCGCTGTGAAGACTGTCCTTCCCCTCACTCTAAGGAAGTGTGGAAAGTTCTCAGAGACGTGCAAATGGAAAACCAAGTCCTTCCAAAGCTGCCACCTCCCCTGGGAAACGCACTGCAGAGAAGCTCTGTTCTGGCTCGTCATACCACCCGGGAACCCCGCGGGAAGGCGCCACAGGACCCGGCCGGGGTCCTGGAGTCAGGATCCTGATCCTGATCCTGATCCTGATCCTGATCAGGAGATCCAGGATCTCCCTGGAGTCAGAGGCGTTTCTGCTCCCACCAGCTCAGTGCTCCCTCCGCACCTGCGGGAGAGGCCACGGGTGCCCTGTGGAAAGCTCACCGCCTTCACTTAAGCAGGCCTCTGGGAACCCCCGGAATCCCAGTCCTGATGGCCCCGCTGCCCCGCTTGTCTGGGCCTCTCAGCCCAGCTGCCCGGGCCTTCTCCAGCGGGGAGCCCGAGATGCTGTGCGCACGAGACGGGGTGGGTAACTCTGGGCCAGCCCACCCCACCCCAGCCTGCCGGTTTATTTCCAGAACTGCAGGCCAGGTTCCCCATTCGCCAGGAGGACAAATTTGGACAACACCAAATCCAGGCGAAACAGTCCCAGCGCATACAAGGCGTTGTTTATATGCCTGAATTCCAGCGGCCCTTCCCTTGGGGATGTCTGTGAAAATCAGATCCAGATTTGCACAATTATAAAGATGGTCCCAAGCCAGCAGGGATTTGGACGTCCTCTAAAAAGAGGGCGGTAAAATGGCGTTAATTTACCAATCCAACACCCAAAGAAAAAAAGACTACCTGACTCCCGGCCCCTACACCCTGCAGAGGGACAACTGGCCTCAAGGTGACCCACCAGGCCCCTGAGGTGCACCCTGTTGCTCTCTGACCTCATCTCCTGCCCCCTCACTCGCTCTGCTCCAGCCTCGCCGGCCTCTCCGACGCTCCATGAGCACCCCGAGCACGTCCCTCGCCTTGGCCCGGAGCCCTCCGTGCTCCAGCACCCGCGGTGCTGACTCCTGCCCCTCCTTCGAGGCTCTGCCCAGATGCCCCTTGCCAGGTGGGCCTATCCAAACACTCCCGCTCCTCCTCACGTCCTCCACGGCAGATGTCACCACCTGACACACCGTGGCGTGTTTACTTCCTACATTTCTTTTTGTAAACCCCACGTAGATATGAGCTAAAGGAAGCTAGGATTTCAGAAGAGCGCCTGGCACATTTTGCAAATATTTGCTGAATGAATGAAAGAGCAAACAAGGTCTTTGTTCAAGCAATTTGTTAATTAAGGACTTTCCTCTTCTAACATCAGTTAGGACTCCGGTTACCCTCTAGCCCTAGCCCTAGATACTCACGCACATGTGTTTCCTGACTCCTCCCCACCACCACCACCGTCATCACCACCACCACCTCCACTGCCTCTATCACCACCACCACCGTCTCTTCTGGGGGGGCTGTTGATGAATCACGGTCCCTGCTGCAGGCCACAGGCTCTGTAAGCTTGGTGGGCTATGCCTGTCTGGCTCTCTGACCAGCTGAGCACAGGACTCCAGGGTGGCTACTTGGGTCTGCCATCAAGACCACCAGAAAGACCATCAAGACCACCAGAAAGGGCAGACATTGAACTCAGAGCCCGCATCACATCAACAAGTCACCTCCTGCTCATCCTACCATCGTGCAGGGACTCAGGCTCATGAGGTCAGCGGCCTAGGGTCAAATCTTGGTCTCACCACCGACAACACAGTGGTGTCACATCGCTGAGTCCTGGAAAGTGAGCAGAGGGCACTACTCCACAGGGCACTGTGAGGATGGAGTGAGGAATTAGACGGGAAGAATCCAAATCAGCAAAGCTGGCACAAACCAAGCACTTCATAAATATTAGCTACTGTCATGACATCAGGATTCCATATGAGACTGCTAAAAACCAAATTCCCTGCTGAAAACTAATAGAAAACAACATTTATAAGCTTTAGAAAAAGACATCTTAAGGATCTGAAAGGAATCATTTCAAGGTAAGTTTTGCAAAACTGGAGTCAAGGCCACAAAGAGATGCCCACACAGCGTGGACACACCACCGTGGCCACAGCACACACTTGTCCCTGCCCGGCTGGGCCGCACTGGTGGAGCGTGGGACCAAGGCATGTGTCCCGCACCGCACACTCACCACCGGCCCTGAGGCCCCCTGCTGGACAGTTTGGTTAAGTTGGTGAAAGGGGTTTAGCAGAAAAGGAGAAAACGGCTTCTTTTAAAATCTTGGTTCTACAAAAGCCAGAAAGAAATCATGCAAATCACTGACGCTGTTGGTGTACTTTGACCTGTCACAGGTCCCCTGTGTGACAGGAAACCTGGCCACAAGGAAGGACAGCAAGACACATGGCTTCATACGCAAGCGAGACTTTAAAAATCAACTGACGTAGCAAGAATCACTGAGTTTAAAGACATAACCTGTGTAAAGGCATTGTAAGAAGCACTACTTACATGAAACCATGTGAGGATCTCTCTCTGTAGACAGCCCTGTAAACGGGTTAAAAACATTTTTATAATTGGAAATCAGAGACAGAAAATAACCCAAAGAATAATCTATCACCTTAGAGGCCAAATTTTACCAAACCAAAGGAACTTATTAAAAGTTCCCAGAGAAAAAAATTCCATAAAAGAGGTCAGATTCTAAACTGAGTTTGGAACTTAAGATACCAATAAATGCTCAGAGCCCTAGACCCCAATCCCTGACCCATGGTCGTAAAGCTGATAGAAAGTGTAGATTCCCAATCCCTTGGACCCATGAGGGGTAAGGAGAGGACCGTGGTGGGGTGTAGGCGGGAACCCCAGGCGGGAACACCATGTAGTCTCAGCTCCAAGTCCGAAGAGCACTTCACAAGGACGACAGGACAAGGCGCCCTGCCTGTGCGAAGACGTAGTGTGGAGGTAAGTGGCTCCGCCAGAGGCTCTTACGGGCAGCCCGAGGCCCACGCAGGGATGACTAAAGACCGGAGGAACATTACAAACCCCAGACAGAAGGCGTCCACTTCCAGCCCAGGCAGAAGAAGACAGACCAAATCGACTCTCCAGCCAGACAACGAAAACACAGACAAAAGACATGAGACAAAGCGTTTGTGGGTTTTGAGACATGAGACAACAGGCAGCACAGGACAGTGATCCCTGAAGGAAGGACACAAAATATGAAACAATCAAGCGTCCATCAATGCGTGAACTGATTAGCAACTTGTAACATATCCACACAACAGGATATTCGACAGCCATTGAAAAAAATGAAGTAATGATACACACTACAACTCAGATGAACCTTGAAAACATTATGCTAAATGAAAGAAATGGTCGTATATTGTATGATTCCGTTTATATGAAATACCCAGAGCAGGTAAATCCATAGAGATAGAGAGCAGATTCATGGATGGGGAGAGAGGAAATGGGAAGTGATTACTTAATCAGTGTGGAACATTTCTTAGGGATGAGAAAAAAGTTTTGGAGAAGTCTGAAACCGGGTGGTAGTTGCACAACACTGTGAATGCACTGAATTGTACACTTTAAAATGATTAATTGCATGTTATGTGAATTTCATGCCAATAAGTAAAAAAACCACAGAATATAATAAGGGAATGTTAGGATCTATTGCATGGCGATAAATTTAATAATATAGATGGAACAAATTTTTAGAAGAATCAAGCTATCCAAACTCACTCGAGAAGGTAACAGATAACCTACATGTATTCAAGAAATTGAATTCAAGTTAAAAACCTTCAACCAAAAAATGAGCCCATCCAGATGGCTTCCGTGGTGAATTCTACCAAGTATTCGAGGAAGAAGTAATACAAATTCCTTACTAACTCATTCTGAAGGGTGAATGTGAGACAACACTTCCCAACTCATTCAATGAGGCAAGTATTAACTTGATACCAAAACCAGAAAAATACACTAAAAGTAAACACAAAATATTTCTCATAAATATAGTTGCAAAAATTCTTAAATTTTAGCATATCAAATCACATAATCTAGCAAAATGGATTTCAACCCAGAAACGCAATTGGTTTAATACGTTTTTAAAAGTCAGTTTCACAGATTTTGGTTTATATGGATGGACTATAGAAACAGACATAAAAAGGAAAACTACGTGACTGTCTCAATAGACGCAGAAAAAGCATTTGGCAAAATTCATGATCACTCATGAGAAGAATTCTCAGCAAACCCAGACTGTAAGAGCACTTGGTGCACCTGACGGAGGAGCTGCGGTCACACCACACAGCTAGCATCACACGTTAGGGTGCAAGGGGGCAGGACGCCCCCCAGATCAGAAACAAAGCTCGGGATGTCCCCTCTTAGTGCATCTATCCAACCAGATCTCAATCGCACAACGGTGATCTACCATCAATACAATCTCAATTGAAATCAGAATAGGCTAAGTGGCTTCTAAAATGTGTATGGAAATATACTGCCTTATTTCAAGATTTATCATAAAGCTATACCCTGGGGCCAGGGACCACACAACCAGGGACAGCCCCTACGCCCTAGGGCCTGCTGAAATTACTCGAGCTAGCCAAACTTCTGAAGGCTGACCCCGCCTCACCTGGCCCTCCCACGGAAACCATAAGAAAACTCCTGCCCATTTTCCCCTCACCTCCTCTGCCCGCTCACTGACCCTGGGGCTCCTCGTGGGTCCCGAGTAGCCTGCCTCCTGTTTCTCGGGACCTGTGGGTATAAACTTCCTCCTCATGACAGTCATTTCCATGACGGCCTTTCTTACCATTCCTGATTAAAACAAATCCCAGGTACCCTTGAAAACACACACACACATACATGCCCAATTGATTTGTGACAAAGGTTCCAAGGTGATTGAATGGGGAAAGGAAAAACTTTTTAACAAAAGATGCTAAAACAACTAGATACCATATACAAAAAAAAAAAAAAAAAAAAAAGATCTCGACATTTTCTTCCCATTCTGTATAAAATTATTTAAACTAGATCACAACTATAAAACTTGTGAAAGAAAGAATAGCAAAAAATCTTACAGACCCCTGGTTTCACAAAGAATTCTTAAGTATGATACAAAAGACATGATGTATAAAAGTAAAAAATGGATAAACTGGATGTCATCAAAATTAAAAATTTTGATCTTCAAAAGACACTTATAAAAATGAAAGTGAAGCTATAGACTGGGAGAAAGTACCTGCAGAACACGTACCCCACAAAGGACTACACCCAGAATACATGCAATTCTCAAAACTCAGTAAGAAAACAAACAACATAGGATGTGAGGGCGATCTGGCTGCAACATCTGTCACCCCACTGATCACCAGGGTTGATTCGGCTGACCTGGCTGGCTAGGTGGGGGCCCCCTTCCTCCCTCACCGCTCCAAGTGCGTCCCTCCCGAAGCTGCGCGCTCGGTCGAAGAGGACCACCTTCCCCGATAGAGGAGGATCGTTCTTCGGTCAAGGGTATACGAGTAGCTGCGTTCCCCTGCTAGAACCTCCAAACAAGCTCTCAAGAAAACAAACAACATAATTTCCAAATGGCCTACCTATCTGATCAAATACTTCAAAGAAAACACAGATGGCACATCCGGCACACGGAAAGATGGTCCAGCAGGCGAAGGGGAGAGTGTGCCATGCAGACAGGCCAGCACCTGGCACAGGAGTGGCGTGTGCAGGTCACATGGAGACATTTCCCTCCAAATCCTGAATGCCACGGGAGAAGAAAGTGAAAACACACAAACTCCCAAGAGGGAGACCTAAATGTCAAAAATGGTTGCACCACCTGCTGGGCAGGGACAGGCAGTCGGGTCTGGGTCACATGCTCCTGGCAGCTTGCAGGGCACTGGGGGTATGGGCAGGGTGGGCACACAGGGAGGGCCTGGGGCCAGAGCACCAACCCCAACAGGCGCTCCAGCTTCGGGCTTCCTGGGGTTGGACCCAGGGGAGCTCTGCTCTTCTCTACTGACCACACTCCCTCGAGTGGATTCCCTAAATCCATTTCCCTGTCCTGCCCTCTCCCCTGGGCTCCTGCATCGACTGCCCACCTGAACAAGCAACCAGGATGTCTAGCTCTAAGTCCAAGACCGATCCCTGACGATCCCAAGGTCATCTCACCTCAGGTGCTCACTCCAGTCCTCTGCACCAGCCTCCTGATCCATTCTCCAGCAAGTGCATCAGCTCTGCCTGAGCTCGGCCTCTGACCTACCCCAACAGCCCCCAGGCCCACCAACTGCCCTCCTGCAGGCTGCAGCCTCCCAACCAAGCCTGCCTTCCCTGCAGGCCTTCAGCCAGAGGGAGCTTCAGAGGCCCCACTGTGCGAGGAGTAACACCCGAACTCATCTCCGGGGCCGGGGCGGGGGTGGTGGAGGGCAACAACTCATCTCCGGGGCAGGCGGGGGGGGGGGGGGGGCGCGGGGCGCGGACAACAGCTGCCACTATTCTCCCCAGCACATCTTCACCCACCCCTTGCTCAGCGCCCCTGCTGCCCTCCCACGTTGCCCTCCCACCACCCGGCCCCTGCTGCAGTCACACTGTGACTCACTGAGCGTGAGCTCAGTCATGCCACCAGCTTGACCACCGCCTCCTCTAAAAGGCCTCCTAGACCACCTGGCAGGCGCTCCCCCACTCCTTCGTGGTCTTCCTGCTCTGACCCACCTGCAGGCACCACTGTATTTTTAATTTATTTCTCTTGATTCTTGTCCCTCACCCCCACTAGAAGAGAGCCCCGTCGTGTCAGGAACCAGGTTACAGGAAGAGCACGTGGAGGCAGGGTCCCTGTACATGTTGGACAGACAGGTGCACATGTGAAGTGACATAAGGACAGACAGGCAGCTGCACGGTGCTGGGACCTGCCGCAGGTTGGGACTCCCCTCCCTGAGGGCAAGACTCCGAAGGCCAACAGGCAGAACTCTAAGTGTGTCGGGAGGCCCAGGACGTGCGTTCCTCTACATGAAAAAGCACAGAATAAAATAAAACTTTCCGGATAGCGAGAAAAAAAGAGGGAAGACATTTTTGTCTTGTCGACTGCAATTGAGAGGCCTGCGATTCAGTGACTCAGGAAAAACCACAGTCAGAGTGTGTCTGACCAGACGTCAGCCCTCATTCAGAGTTCAAGGCACTGCAACACTCACATGCGCGGCCGCCACTGACCACGCCTGGGCCACATGAGCCACAGCGCAGAGAGCGGGCCCTCTCCAGCATCCCTGGTCTACACGGGACAGCCGGCATCACACATGCAGCCTCACGCAGCCACGCCAGAATTTTGGCATTAGAAACACATTTTAAACACTGACTAGAAAGGAGGCAAAATTTTACTCCTCTTGTGGATTCGGCCTTAGATACAAATATTAGTAATGTGCTTCTTTGAGCCACTATTTCTAATGTTCCTACTGTTAGGTGCAGAGGAGTTTCACAGAGCCTTAGCATTCCAACCAGAGCATCTACCAAGAATGGAAGCCCTCCCTTCCTAAAGGTGGCTCTCGCACAGCCTCCTCAGACCCAAGCTGCCTCCACGTGCCAGCCTGAGA